ATTTTGCATGTCAATGGGAGGGCAGCAACAAAGGAGCCAATCTGTGTTCACTAAGAAGAGACATCCAGAGTCCAGGGGCAAAAAAGTACAGTCTGACATCTCCATTGGTGATGGGATTGAGAGAAGGATCTCTCTTAAGGAACTGAGGGCCTGGGAAAGCACAAATCAGGAAACAGCCAGATTGGCAAGATAGCTTGGACCTGAGCCATATAGGGCTTTATAAACTCCTCACTGAATTGTGCCCCAAAACACAGTTGCAGCCAGAGGAATTTTTCTAGCAAGGGAGTGTCAAACTTACGCTAGTTAATATTCTAACTACAGCTCTTTGGATACACCATTATTTTCTAACACTCTTCTAAGGTAATCCCATGTGAAATGTGTTAGAACAACACAATGTAACTAAAGCATGTGTTTATTTATTTATTTACAGTCTTTATATTTTGCCCTTCTCACCCTGCAGGGGACTCAGGCTGGATCACAATGCACACACCCATGGCAAACGTTCAATGCCATAGACACACAACATATATAGACAGAAACACAGAGGCTATGTAACTTTCCAGCTTAATGAGGGTATGGTTGAATTCCGGCCACCGGGGGAGCTGTCGCTTCACTGTTCACTTGTGACACTGATAGAGTACTTCCTCATTCTTTTGCACACTGCTGGAGATTTTTATGGCATAGTAAATTACTTAAATTAGCCTCCCTGCATAATCGGTACCTAAATTTCCTACTTCACAGATGCAACTGTCTTTCGGGGTGCAAAGGTTGACAGCAAGCTAGACAAATGGTCAGGAGCTTACTCCAACCTGGGCTGGCTTCAAACTCATGATCTTTTGGTCAGTAGTGATTTTAATGCAGCTGACTCCCAACCAGCTGTGCCACAACCTGGTCTAACTGTATAAGTATCATCAGATTTCCCATCTCAAAAAATGAGTGCAGTTCAATGTTCAAGAGCACACCTAGCTTTTGCAGAAACTGGAGCCTCCAATTTCAAAGCCAAGTTCAGATATATATCACAACTTTAAAACTGTGCCTCCAAAGGGAGCATACTTCCATTCCAACATTGAACATGCTCCAATGTCTTGCCCAAAAGTATAATATATATATAAACTTTATTTATACCCCACCACCATCTCCCCAATGGGGACTCGGAGCGGCTTACATGGGGCCAAGCCTGGACAACATATTACATCAAAATAAAACCAAAACATAAATGGTATGTTGGATGTTGGCCAATAGTTATCTATTATGTTTTCTTCGGGCTATAAGGAAACACTGACAACCACTTCATCTTCTCAGCCAGTTCACCCACAACATGAGAAACTGTGATCTCCACCGATCATGGACCTGGACCACACTTAGCACACAGAACCCCCATAACTAACTCAACCTACTGGAGGGATTTGAGGGGACTGACTCAACATAGTGGGAGTTGTAGCCAAAGAGCACACTGAACCCCACCGATGATGCATCTAGAGCAAACTTGCCCAACATAACAAACTTTAAGTAGTGATGGAGTTTTTTGGGGTTAACCTGGCATGTGAGCTCTAGTTCACCCAAAACCTTATGCATTTCGTACAATAAAAAAAATGACTTTTTCAAATAACCCAGGCATCACCAGGTACTCAAGCTTGTAAATAAATAAAAATCAAAATAGATAAATTAAAATATATGACAACCACTGGCAACTCATTGAATAAGTAGAAAAGTGAAATTAAAAATTAAAACCCTGAATTATTTTATCTGAATATATTAGCAGATGGAACAGTTAATTGATAAAGGGAACCAAACTAACTGGTTGTAAATAGAAAGTGAGTAAATTTTAAAAATTGCCACATGAAGCAATATAAGAAACATTAATACACTACTGTAACACAATTTGGCACATAAGAATAAGGAAATTGGCAGCCTACTGAAAAGTGAGACATTGCTGGAAAGGAGAAAGCTAAAGAAAGACAAGTAGACACTGTTGCCATCAATAATTTTCTGGGTGGGGGAAGTTCTAGGCACCAACCAGTTTTGTATGTCTGATGATCGATAAAATTCAGGTACTTATTAGAGGTAATAGCAACACAATGGTAATAGCAAAACACATTCAATCAATGAGTTTTACCTATGTGTTGACTCCCAATTCAACAGTTGACTGAATAGGTCTATTGTAGTTGTGACAAACTAAGAATATTGCCAGCCATAAACTGTAAATGATATATTGGTATATTGGATGGAAATTCAATTAAGTGCTTGTTTGTCCAATCACTACAAATGAGACTGGAAATAAAATAATGATAATATAAGATGACCCATGTTGGATGAGACCAAAGGCCTTTCAAGTCCTATGTTCTGCCCACTCAGTGTCCTATCAGTGAACTGCAGAACGTCTATTATGACAAGGCTCCAACTCATCTTCCCCAGCGATAAAAAGGCAACATATTAATAATGTGCCTTGTGAATAAAACACATGCACTTGTTGATGAATGCAAAAAAGCACATAGAGAGAAACAAGAAGAATTATATTTTAAAATATTAATCACATTGAGAAAGCAAATCAGACATCTAACATAACAGCAAAAGAGAATTGGATAAATTGGACTAAGGAGAAAATTAGTTTCAGTACCTAATGCTCACAGATCTACATGCAATAAACTCAAATTAACCAATTAATAATAAGGCAAAATAATTGTTAAGCTACTTATTAAACAAGACCAAAGATTGGGAAGCTGGAGAGGGCCAAGATCAGACAATAAACAACCATCCACACCTGTGCCACAGATAAATTTGGCAAACAAAGAAAGAGATGCAGGAAATAATGGAATATACCATTGTCCTTCCATATGTGCAGTTTTGACTTTTGCAGATTAATGTTCTCTCTAAAAATCTCTAGCTCTCCCAGTATGACTCTATGGTCAACCTCTTTCAGTCATGCTGGAAGAGCAAGAGACATCAAGAGAGAACACCTTACTAGGAATTTCTAGGTTTACTACTGCAATTCTATGGTTGTTTTCCAGATGAAGTCAACTATAGAGTCATACTGGAAGACCAAGAAATTCCTAGAGAGCTGTTATCCCAGTTAAACAAAAATAGCAATTTCTTATTTTATTTTTTATTTCATGGGGGTCCACTGCCCCTAATCCTGGCAAATGTGGAGGACTAACTGTATAACTTGAAGGAGTTGGGGGTGGTGACGGCCGACAGGGAGCTCTGGCGTGGGCTGGTCCATGAGGTCACGAAGAGTCGGAGACGACTGAACGAATGAACAACAACAAAACTATATAACTTCAATGACTTCGCATTACACTTACAGGTTTCTTGCCCCCAGATTAGACACTAGAAGCCTGAAATGTGCATAGCCCAACTCCCTTCCTTTCCCATCCACATTATGCTAGGTTGGCACATTAAGGGAACGTCTTGCCCTTGATGTATGAATCCCCAGATTGGTCTTAAATCTCTTCAAACTATACCATTACGCACAGGCATATTTTTGTCCACAGAATGTTAGTGGTAATGGCTGTGCTTAGCTCAAATACGTAAAGGAAGCACGTGCATTGAAATCTAGACACGTGTCTTGATTTCAATGCCTGCAGCGGAAACAGCTGCAGCCTGACATTTGACTTTCTACAAAAGGTGTAATTTTGCAGACTTAGAAATGAACATTGCTAATCAGCTTTTTGTTCTTCCCCATTATGAGCAATTTTGACCTTAAAAGGGATGTTGAGAGTGCCGTATCCTTAATTTAAAAGCTCAAGCTATGCTACATAGACATCAGTTTCAATGCAAAAGGTGGCAAAACAATTGCCTCTTCTCTCTGACACAGCACTGTCTCTACTGTTTGTTCATCACAAAGTGCTAAAACCACACAGCTTCCAGTAACAGTCACAAGAAGGGTCAAAGAGACCTACCAAGTACAGGCAGTCCCCAAGTTATGAACAAGATAGGTTCTGTAGATTGACTCCTAAGTTGAATTTGTATGTAAGTTGGAACAGGTACATTTTCTAAGTGTAATATATATCAGCTTTGGATAGCATAGGGAAGGGTTAACATCCCTGTGGTGTTTGTTTTGCTGCCTGTTCCCCACCCCCACCCCGCCCCGTTCAGAAGATTTCGCCTCACTTTCAGTCCCTGTGATAATTGGATTTTGATGAATGTGGCTTAGTGTGGTGCTAAAGCTTCAGTTGAGACAGCTTTTCCCCACAATAACTCTTTCAGGAGTGAATTTCCCTTGCTGGGGATAGAGTTCTCTGACTTCTTGTTGCCTCATCCCCGTTCTTAACTAGGAGTTATTTGTAAGTCGGATGTTTGCAACTTGGAGAATACGTGAATACAGAACAGATTTCTTGAAATCTCACGAACTAATTATTAGAAAAGCAAAAGTAGGCTACTTCAATCTATACAAAATGAAATAAACAAATCAATTACACAAGACAAATAATGGTGTTGTCCTTTTCTAATGCCACATGTCTAGAATGATGCCACATTGCACAGATATCATTCCTCTGCATCCTCCATTTCTTCCCACCTGTGACAACATGATGTGACTAATCAGTTGCTTTTTTTTTTGTCATGTCAGGAGTGACTTGAGAAACTGCAAGTCGCTTCTGGTGTGAGAAAATTGGCCGTCTGCAAGGACGTTGCCCAGGGGAAGCCCGGATGATTTGATGTTTTTATCATCCTTGTGGGAGGCTTCTCTCATGTCCCCGCATGAGGAGCTGGAGTTGATAGAGGGAGCTCATCCGCCTCTACCCGGATTCGAACCTGCTACCTGTCGGTCTTCAGTCCTGCCGGCACAGGGGTTTTACCCACTGCGCCACCAGGGGCTCCAATCAGTTGCTGCATCAGTGAAACTAATGTTTTGATATTTCTTTTTTTTTTTCCCCTCTGGTCATTTTGCAGCCCTCACATCCCAACCTGTAGATGATGCATGCTAAGGAAATCATGAAGGTTAATAGACAGATGGGGAGCGGATTTCAACGTTAGCCATTTATTTCCAGCTTCTAATTTACCTGGTCAACTGGGACCTCAGTCTGAGTATCTTCATCTTCCTGGACTTCCACAGCTCCCCGCATTTCAGATCGTTTTTTCCCAGCCTTGTAAACACCATCTCCTGAAAGTGAAAAGAAGCAGAGTCCAATTGTGACACCACATGGGGAAAGGAATGAACTGCATCCAAAGACAATCCAAGGATGGGGTTCTGAACTAAAAAACACAAAACCCAGAAAACAGTTACAAAAGCAAAGGAGTCAATGCTATACGAATAACAGCAGAGATCACTATGGGAAGGAGACAAGTTTAGACTACCTACTAAAGATAAACAACCTCATCAGATGGGCTTAATTTCAGCAGCATGTGCCAGATCTTTCATAGTTTTATGACAGAGCCCTCTGGCTCCCATCAGACAATGCTGAACTACTTCCGACAGGGCTTCATTGTAAAACTATAGAAGATCCAGTGCATGCCATCAAGGCATGAACGAGGAAGCTCCCCATGTTGCCTCTGAAACAATGGAGGAAGCCAAGCAGCCAATGCTTCCCCACATGGGATATGGTGACCATCAAATTGGGCAATGCTGTGTGTGAGATGTTGTGTTCCCCAAGCCCCATGTTGGGCACCACCAGATTCACCACAATGTGTGGTGATTCCAGAGGCCTGTGTGAAGAGATCCTGCCATACAGTGATAGTCTTCTTTGTAGCCTCTGCTTCACACTCACAGGATTCTACCGCAGATCATCCTGAAAATCTTCTGGAAGCTGAGAATATTGGTAACTGGTTTGAGCACTGGATTATGAATCTGAGTCCAGGGTTTGAATCTCTACCTGACCAAGACACCCATTGGGTGACCTTGGGTTTCCTCTCAGATGAAGGCAGAGGCCAAAACCTCAAAAATAAATCTTTTTATAAAAAAAACACCTTGTGATAAGTCTACTTTACAGTTATCTTAGGTTGAAAACAACTTTAAAACACACAACAACAGCAAGCAATAACAACAACATACAACCCTACTGTCTGTAACAGATACTTTGATCCCTTCACTTTTGCAGCATTATTCTTAAATAGACTTCTTTCCCTCCTTGTGTTTATGTTAATGGTTGCCATTCATTTTAATGGATAAAGTGAGGCTCTCAAATACAAATGAATCCTACCCTTTCAAGTATAACATATCCCCAAGAGATCTATGCAATACAACAACAGCCTCCTTACATGTACACACAAACACATTTTTCAAGTGTTAGTATTACTTATCATTTGTATTATTTCAAGCACAAAATATTCCCCCTGGAGATCCTTCAAAATATAAAACCAGCTCTCATACATTCAGGTTTTTTCTTCTAGTAATCATAATACTTATGATTCTCGAGAGAATTCAGAGTCTTTCTGCATTTCGTTTACATAATTCTCACAATGGTATGGGCAAGGTAGGTCAAGTTTATTGCTACCATAAATCAAATAGCAGGTTATGGCTGAGGAGGAAAAATAGCTTTTCTGTAAGCTCATGGTACAAGAGGGATTTGTCAAATGGAATTTACAATTTCTAGCCGCTTCTGGTCGACAGCCGTTGAATTCCAGGGCAAGAAAAGCAGACAGTGAAAACAAAAGAACAGCCTGCCTCAAAGAAGGGTGCCTACTCCATCAAGGTTTAACATTTACACAAATGGTCAGCCACTGCCAGAAGGGACAGAGAATTTCATCTATGCTGACGATCGTGCCATCACTGCCTAAGCAGGGAGTTTTGAAATGGTTGAACAGAAACTCTCTGAAGATTTAGGTCAGTGGTTCTCAACCTGTGAGTCCCAGATATTTTGACCTTCAATTCCCAGACTGGTAAACTGGCTGGGATTTCTGGGAGTTGTAGGCCAAAATACCTGGGGACTCACAGGTTGAGAAATACTGCTTTAGGTGCTCTTACTGCATATTACAGGGAAAACTATCATGAATGACTTTTCAATAACTTTAAAGCATAGGTTCTTTTTATTGCAATTTCCAGTGTGAGAGGGTATATCAGATTACACAAAAACATTTAGTCATAGAATGACATTAGACTTACAGACATACAGATTCTGTGCAACTACATTGGATTCACAATTACATGGTAAACAAACAAAGGGGAATTACATTTTCACTCAACATTCACACCACATGTACATGCATTCATCCACATGCATCCAAAATATTACCATATTCTTTTCTCCCTCCTTGGAGAAGCACCTGTTGGGCCAAGCCCTGCTTCCCTGTAGCCTGCCAACGCATAGTTCCATAACTTCCATAACGCCAAAACTTCAAAACGCTGAGATACCAAAACTACTTTCCCTAAGAACAATGCCAAGGACCAGATCTCTGTTTTCCATACAGCAGAACCTGACTCCCAGCACAAAATCTAAGACTCCAAAAGCGCACTTCTTCCTCTTCCCTTGAGAAAGAAGCCCCAAAGTATCCAGAATCATGCTTTCCCATAGCATATCTGACATTCTCCAAATACACCATTTCTCTCCTTCCCATGGAGTAGAGCATGGCGGGTGGAACAGACTCCTCGGTCTGCCACACTTTGAGCATTATTAGACTGAATATTTTATAGGAATATTCTGTTGATGTAGTCCCAAAGTTGTAAATTAATGATAGACGTCTTCCATCCTGGCTCTATCTCAGTTTCCTGGCCAGATGTTGATCTTCTTGATTGGTGTTGATCTTATGTTGACTTCCTTCTTCACATAAGGAATGTTGCAAACATTTCTGTTATCACTGTCCCAGTTCTTATCAGGGTTTCTCATTAGCAAGTCCAGCAAGGAGGTAGTTAGTCATTGCAGGACTTAATATTATACTGGTGTTTCCAAAATTATTAATTCCATTCATACATCCTTTCATTCTTCCATTCATTCCCACACATAATTATTAAATTCATATTTGTCAAATCTACACATTGAATTTCTTGTGACAAAACCACCAGATTCCTAATCCATGTAAAACACAGACTTGTGATTTTCATCTTAAGAACAGGACAAGCATCTCGAGCTCTGAGGATTACCTGGGAAAGAAGCCCACTGGAGCATTGCAGCACACCCAAATACATGGGAGTTACCCTGGACCGTGCTTTGACCTACAAGAAGCATTCTTTGAATATCAAGCAAAAAGTGGATGCTAGAAACAACATCATACAAAAGCTGACTGGCACAACCTGGGGATCACAACCAGATACACTGAAGACATTTGCCCTTGCTACTCTGCTGCTGAGTACACATGCCCAGTGTGGAACACATCTCACCACACTAAAACAGTGGATGTGGCTCTTAATGAGACATGCCGCATTATCACAGGATGTCTATGCCCTACACCATTGGAGAAATTATACTGTTTAGCCGGCATTGCACCACCTGACATCTGCCGGGAAGTAGCAGCCAATAATGAAAGGACAAAGGTAGTGACATCTCCGGCCCATCCCCTGTTCGGATATCAGCCAGTACGCCAATGCGTTAAATCAAGAAATAGTTTTCTAAGATCTACAGAATTACCCACAGGAACGCCTCAGCAAGCAAGAGTCCAAAAGTGGCAGGCTAAAACTCCGAACCTCAATTAGTGGCCGATACCGAATGAGAGACTCCCTCTTGAGCACACAAAAGACAGGCGACTTGGAAGGCGCTGAACAGACTGTGCCCTGGCACCACAAGATGCAGAGCTAACCTTAAGAAATGGGGCCACAAAGTGGAGTCCACAGCATGCAAGTGTGGAGAAGAGCAAACCATAGACCAGCTATTACAATGCAGTCTGAGTTCTGCCACATGCACAACAGCGAACCTTTTTATAGCAACACCAGAGGCACTCCAAATGGCTAGCTACTGGTCAAAGGACATTTAATATAATGCCAAATTTTTAAACTTTGTGCTCTTTTAAATACATTACAACTGTACCCTCGGTTCACTTCTGATATAAATTTTAAAAAATACAATTTCTAGTCTATAATGTATTAGTTGTCATGATGGAGATCAGAGAAGATGCCAAAATGACAGACTGGTGGAGAGTAAACAATGGAGGGTGCAGGGCAAAAAAGAGCAGTGTTGGTTCTAAGTGAAACCACTGAGTTTAAGGACTTGAATGCTGAAATCGTCACCAAATTCAGACAAGGCAGGGAGGAAAACCAGGAGATCATGCACAAAAAGAGGAGAGGGAAAATGTAGAACCTATTATCTAGAGATAATGGTAGAAGAAGTAACTGAATGAATTGTACAAGATTGTCTGGCACTTCTGCATAGCACATCCTTCTATAGAAGAAACACAGGAATCTGACAAGAGAAAATTTATGTTCCTGGCTAATTTCTAAAAAGTTGGTAGCTTCCTGTGTCTTGAAATTGCTGAAGGCATTTCTCAGTTGTCTTAAACTCTGTATATCTATCCAGCCTGACAGAAACGTCAGTACACTTCAGTAAACAAGAAAATTACATGACTGTATTAAATAGCAAATAAGTCATAAATCCAAACTAATAAGAAATCAATACACTTTAAATAATTAAACACAGAAAATTAGCGTTTCTTGCATAAGCTCTTTTCCTAGGCAGCACTGAAATTAAAAAATATTGCAGCACAAATGACAGCATTATGCATAACCATGGAATGCATTTCAAATTTGAAGCTGATTGAAGTTCGGCATTAGGGAGAAAATAATCACGGTAATAACAGTCTGCCCTGAATATTTTATGGAAATCAGGGGCATTAACAGAGCTGTAAGCTCTGTATGTAAGAGTGGGACTTAATCTAACTACAAAAAATGTTCATTGTAATATCCCAGATGCTGCCTCATAAAGTTAGAATGGGGAAAATAACAGCATAAGGAATGTATTGTTCATGAAATCCAATAAATATCTAAAAAGGGTGGAGAGGATAGGAGATTGTTCACTTTATCTTCACTAAACCAAAAAAAACGACAAGGAAAAAGAAACCAGTTTACTGTTTTGGGATTTCATTTTAAAATGCCTCAAGATAATTTTAAATCTCTAATAGGTATGGAACAGTTTAGTGTTCAAACAGCCTTGGATACATTTGCCTGAAAAAATCTATTGTGAGGCAAGATGATATTCTTTTTCCATGAATTTAGTGTGATAATAAAAAAAAACCTAGAGC